GGCACTCCGGGCAGGTAAGCCGAGCAGGGTGCGTGGCCCCAAGGCACCCGTGTGCAGACGCAGGGGCTGTCCTCGGCCTCGAGCGAGCAAACGTTGGCCCCTCTGTGTCTCGGTCACAAATGGGCGAGTCCAGGAGCCCCTGGTGATGGGGTGCAGGCAACCCCAGTGCGTTCCTCCAAGTCACTCCACTCGCCTCTGAGGCACACAGCTCCCTTGGGACCACGCCTCCCCCTCCGCCCGCATCCCCTGCTGCCTGCCCCCTGGCCTGCATCCTCCAGCCCTGGCCACCACCCAATGCCACTGGAGTCCCCAGCTCCCCCATCTTGCCACCGTGCTCTGATGTCCTTAGGGGGTCCCTGTCACCACCACCCCCGGCTGTGCGGTGTGTGTCTCTTGCTAAGGGTCCCACACCGGCCGCTTGGCTCTCACACGGCAACCCTCAGGACGTGGCCCGCCCTGCCTGGCCCTCAGTGGCCTTGAGGCGGCGTGAAGCGCGTCCTCGGGCATCTTCAGGAAGATGCACACTGACCTCAGTCCCCTACAGCCCGAGCACGGCTGGGCCGACAGCTCCCGGCGGCGACACTGGCCACCCTGCAGGCAGCAGCTGACCCAGCCCTGACCGCAGACTTCAAGACCATCCTGGACTGACAGCCGGCCCTCCCGCAACCCGGGGCCTGGGCCCGGCCCCACCCCAGCAGGGCCCCTCAGAGGGTCTGGCCCCTGTGCCAAGACCCCAGCACGTGTCGGCTCCAGGAGGGGTCGGCCCTCCTACCTGCTGGTGACAGGTGCATCCTTCAGCCACCAGGAGGAGCCGGTGGAGAACCTGGCTGGGGCGCTGGCGTCTGGAAGGGGGTTGTCGGGGGCCTTTGTCACCCCTTGCTGCAGGGGCACCCCAGTCCAGAGCAGTGGCCCAGGTGGGGTGGGTAAAAAATTTCCGGCTGATATGTGCAGCACCCCAAGTCAGAGCTGTCCACGCCCCAGGCAGCACCCAGCCCAGCTGCTTCCATGGTCTCTTGTCTCCAAGTCGCCCAGAAGCACAGGGCCCAGTCAGCTGTTTGAGGCCTTGGCCACTGTCGCACCCCCGCTCCGACCCCGCCTGCCCCATGCCCTGCCCGGGCCTCCTGCAGCCAAGCGTCCAGCACACCCCAACCACCCTCCCCCCAATCCAGAGTGCAGAGAGAAGTCGAGCCTGTTCATGGTTTCCTGGTTGTTAAATATTTCTCATTTGTATTAAAATACGCACTATTTGAGTGCAGTCGTCTGTGATCATGGAAACGTGGGCACGGGGTCTGGGACGTGTGTGAGACGTGGCTGGCTGGAGTGTGGGGTGGGGGAGGGTCCCGGGCCGGGAAGAGGCAGGCAGGAGGCGGGTGGGTGTGAAGCGGGGGTGAGGCAGCGGATTAAACCCTGGGCTCGGGGTCCCTGGGGTGCCGCCCCACCCCGCCCAGGTTTCCAGCTCAGCGGATCAGGGCGGCCTGGGCGTTTGCACATCTACCAAGTTCCTGATGCTGCAGGCGGGTGGGGACCTCACACAGCCACTGCTAGGGAGATGGGGAGGCCTGGGGTCCTGTGGGGGGCCCTTCTATGCAGTGGCCTGGGCACCAAGCAGACCACGCTGGCTTGGTCTGTGTCGGGGTCAGAAGTTCGGAGATGGGGGGGCAAGGGCGAGGTCGCCAGGGAGAAGTGATTGGGGGACTCGAGGGCTTGAGTGACAGTGGGGATCTGGAGCCTTGGTGACGGCAGAGGGACTGCCTCAGTAGTCTTGCCAGAGGTGCCCTCCCCCACCCCAATCAGATCCCGCCTTCTCCCCAATCAGACCACCCCAATCAGATCCCGCCTTCTGGGTCACCCCGGCCCCCGTGAGGAGCCCCACGAGAGGAGGCCTTGTCCAGGGAGCTGCCGCTGTCCAGGCAACAGCCAGGCTTCTGCCTGCGCTGGACAACGCGCTTGAACGGACAGCGGGAGGGTCACGCAGAGGTCAGGACGTGGCAGCGCCAAGGGGTGTCTTCTGAAGGGGCAGTCCCCGCCGGGGGTGCCACTGCTCTACCCTGTCCCCCGGGGCGGCATAAAGGCCAGTGAGTGGCGTGGTGACCGCAGAGAGCAGCTCCGAGCCTTGCGGATGTCCCTGACGGCACCACATAATGGGTGCCATCGCGTGTACCTTGGACTGAGTCGGTGCCGGCACAGTCTAAGTGGCCGGGCGTGAGTGTACTGTGGGGGGGGGGCGCTTTATGGCCGTGCCTCGTTCACAGTGGCTGTGGAGAGCATCAGGTGCTTGGCCACACTTTATGGCCGACCCAAGTCCACAGAGCGCATCGTAAATGCGCAGGAGAGGGGCGCCGTGGGCCTCGCCGCCGCACGCGGGGAGCAGCGCCCCTCCGCCCGGGGCGGGTCCAACGGGACCCGAGGGGGCCCTGCCACGGGCGCCTGGCTGACACGCCCCGGCCGTCCCCGGCTTCTCCAGAGCGGACCGCACCCAGGGGTGTCATCCCTGTCCCACACACCCCAGAACCTCGTTCTCTAGGACAGGCGTCTGGGCCAGTTTTTCTCAGGATCACGGGTACTTTGCCCACGTGTTGAACCCTCGTGGGGGGCCCGCTCTCTAATTTTTCTCTTTTTAAAAGCCACCGTGCACACTGCCACGTCTCAGGGTGAAACGTGCAAACGATGACGTTTTAAAAAGTGAAGAAGGAAATCTAGATGTCGGTCCTCCCTACATGTAAACCGCACACGCAGAAGGGAGCTCGTGCCTCCCGCAGACGCGTGCGGGTGAGTTAGGGCACAGGCAGGAGTGAAAAGGAAGTGGGGGTGAGCGCAGATGACGCCCCCGGGACCAGGGCTGAGTGGTCACCCCCCCGACCCCTCCCTCGGCTGCACGTGCTGGGCGCCTCACGGAGAAAGGGGCCCCGGTCACTGCCCGGGGTGCTGGGCAGGACTCGCCGCCCCCACGGGGCTGAGGACAGACCTCAGGCGCCCTTGAGCTCCGTCCATGTAAGTGCCCAGTGATGCGAGTGCCCAGGCCTGGGCTGGCTGCGGGTGGGGACGGCTCCCAGCGGCACGCCTGGCCCGGCTGCTTACAACCCACCGTGACACCCGTCACACCTCCAGGGACTTGTCAGCACTCTGGACAGCGCCGGCACACCCGGGGCCCCATGGAAAGGGGTGCGATGGGCCTTCACAGGGCTGTCCCAGCAGCGGGTAGCGAGGACACAGCGGCCTCCACGTGGCAGGTCAGGAGCATGCCCGAGTGCCAGGGCCCGGCCTGAGACCTGGCCCCTGGCGCAGGGCCGCAGGGCGGGCGAGGCGGGCGCCCTGCAGGCCGGGAGGGGCACCGCTTCGGGGGCCGCAGACCGCAGGTCCTGGCTGCAGGCCGCCGGGAGGGACCAGGAGGGACAGCAGTCCTCTGGCGGCTCTGGGGCCTCAACGACAATCGCTTTTTGTTCCTTCTCGACACACCGTCGAGTCTTTGAGAAAGTTTTAAGAGAACAGAAGGCAGCGTGTTTGGCGTGGCCTCCGGAGCCTGCACTGGAGGAGGGGCCTGCTGCGTGCTGAGGTGAGAGGGGGTGGCCGCGAGCTTCTGGACACTGTGCTACGTCGGGCTGCTCGCCGGGGCTGACAGGCCCGCGCTCCAGCTGCCTGCACGTCCCCGTCACCACTGGGCCAGAGCAGACCCGCCCGCAACCCGGGGGAGGCGCCTCTGCCATCCCGGCCCCGCCCGCTCGTCCGCAGGTCCCCGCGCCTCTGCGGCGTGAGGCCCACCGCAAGGGCGTGGACATGGCCTTCTCGGGGCGGTGGGCAGTGGGACCCCTGCCCGAGCTCCTCCCACCTGCTGTGCCCTGAGGGGCCGGCGGCAGCACACACGGCAGCACACACGGGTGTCGGGTGTCGGGGGGTCGGCTGAGTGTAATTGGGGTCCACAGCGCCGCACGGGAGGGCGCACAGGCCCAGCCCTCCCCGCTCCCTGCCCGCCCTCAGCAGGCCCTGCTGTCCTGCAGCTTCAGGCGTGTGCCCTGCCACACGTCCTGCTTCTGTCTACGCCGAGTGACGAGCAGCTGGACCAGCGCGGCCCCGGGGACACAGAGCGCGGGCAGGACAGTCAGTACTATGCGCACGGCCTGCACCCAGGCGGGGAACAGCTTCTCTGGCCGCACGGGGAAGTGCTCCTGCGGGGAGGAGGCACGAGGCCATGGTGAGCGTCCGGGGAAGGAGATGGCCCCCACCTCGCCCGCTCCGCCCCCCAGACGGAGCCAGGCTGACCCTCAGCCACGTGGACGCGGCTCGTGTGGGCAGCTTCACCCGCCAGGCGAAGCAGCAAGCGGCTCATTCCGGGCAGAGGGATGGACAGTGGGGACCCAGGAGCCGAAGCTTCGGGACCTGGGCTGAGCCTCTCGCGGGTTCTGGGCTCCGAGGGGCCTGGCCCCGGGGGCGTGCTCTGGAAAGAGCCGCCTGAGCAGCCTGAGGGGCCCCACAGTTTCGGGCTGCCTCGACCTAACCCACTGGACATCGCCGGACCGCACGTGCCCTTCTCTCTCTCCTGTGGGCGAGCGACACCACCCACCGACCCCAGACCCTCGCTGCGAGGTTCACGAGGCCCCCGTGTGACCCCAACAGGTAACAGTCACGGAGACACCTCGAGGGCACGGCACCATCCCCGCTTCTCCTGCCCTTGGCCTGGAGCCGAGTCCCTTTCTAAGGGGAACAGAATGACTCTCGCACTCCTGACGAGGGCAAGGGCATGGGTGTCCCAGGGCGTCCAGATGGGGTGGCGGGTCAGCCCAGACACGCGGCTCAGTACAGCCCATGGGCCAGCGCCGGGCCGGGGTACAGCCCACACGCCCTCCTCTGACAGGGCCTGGGGTCTGTTCAGTGGCACCTGCCCCGCGCACCTTCTCCCGTCTCAGACCAGGAGCTGGCAGTGTGCAGGGCCTGTGGGACGTGCAGCCAGAGGCTACGTCCCTGTGTGCAGGATACAGAGACCCGCGATGTCACCGCGAAGCTGTTCCGGCCCTCCCGCCACTGGCCGAGGCCCTTGTCCCAGCTCGCGGACTGCCGCAGTGGCCCCTGATGTCCAGAGGACAGTGGAGGTCCTGTGGCCTTGTGTTGCATAATGAAGGCAGCCCACAGGGTCGCTTAAGGTACAGATGTCCCCCGTGAGGGCCATCTGGGTCCTGGACGGCGCCAAGGCCAGGCCGGGCCTGCAGTGGGTCCCAGGGCCCCTGGGGCCCCATGCGAAGGACTTACGTATTGGGGGTCCCAGGTCCTATAGCTGGGTGGCGCGCGGACCAGGAGAGCAATGTAGACCACCAAGACGGTCAGCAGCATCAGGGGGCTGATGACCTTCCAGGTCACCCGCCAGTAGAGGCCAGGCCGCCTTCCCGTCATCCATGCTACGTCATCACAGAACCTGCCACAGAGACGCTGGGTTGAGGCTCCCCCATCAGGCCCCGTGCCAGCCTGCCAACCTGCTCGGCCAGCAGCTTCATCCAGTGTCACCAAGACGTGGCCAGTGGGGCCGACCCCCTCCTCCGCTCCATCCTGTGTCCCCCATGCCTCCCCGAGCAGCCACCAGACAGGCAGCCCTCTCCACCCCTGAGGAAAACACACCACCCTCCCTGATTCGATACCTGGAGGGGACCCAACCAGCAGGTCGATGCAGCCACGGGGAGGCATGGACAGGGGCCACTGGACAGCAGGGAGGTGGCCGGCCCGCCCCCAGCCCCGCCTCCGGCCCCACCCCTGGGCGACGTGCCCCTGGATAGGGCCTGCGAGTTCAGCCCCGGGAGGCTGGGCAGCCTGGCCAGAGCAGTGAAGCCCCCAGCCCGGCTGCAGGAGCCTGTGCTGGCGCCCTCGGCCCATGCCCTGGAGAAGCCACTTTCCAGCCACTCTGGCCCAAGGGACGGGGCAGAGGTGACCAGGATGTGCAGCAGCATGGCATCAGCCACACCCGGGAGCCCACGGGAAAGCAGGACCCTCTTCACGAGCCCACCCTGCCTCCTCCCCACCCGATCACTCCAGACGGGCCCAAGTGCCTCCCAAGACCCCACAGCTGGCTGGAGTCCAGGGCTCACTGTCCACCCACATCCTCGGGTCGGGCCCCCGCCAGACAGCAGCCTCTCACTTCTGCCACTCCGTGTGGGCAGTGTCCCACCTCAGGACAAGCCCGCTGGCCCCCGCCCAGAGAGCAGGGGTGAAGGCCCTGGCATTCGGTGGCTCCCAAGGTCCCGAGGAACAAGGACGGAGGCACGACCGCCAGGGCCGCTCGGGCAAGGCTGTGGGCGAGCTGGCAGGTGTGAGTGCGGGTGTGAGTATGACAGGTGAGTGTGGGTGTGACGTGCGTGGGTGCGGGCATGTCAGGTGAGTGTGGGCGTGAATACAGGTATGACAGGTGTGAGTGCGGGTGTGAGTGTGACAGGTGAGTGTGGGTGTGACATGCATGAGTGCAGATGTCATAGATGTCACTATGGGTGTAAGGGTGGGGGTTTGGGGGTGTGAATGTGGGTGTGATGGGTGTGATTGCCGGTGTGCGTGGATGTGGCAGGTGTGAATATGGATGAGTATAGTTGTGACAGGTGTGAGTGCAGGTGTGAGTGCGGATGTGGGTGGGTGTGTGTGACAGGTGTGAGTACAGGTGTGACAGCAGGTGCAAGTGATGGCTGTGGATGCAGGTGTGAGAATGGTGTGACAGGTGTGCAGCGGGCTCGCACCACTTGGGGGTGGGCAGGATCCGTGCCAGGCCTTCTCCGAGGCCTCCAGGAGCAGCCCTCGGACTTGGGCAGTCCGCCCCATGTGGCTGGAGCCTAGCCATTTGTCCCCCGCATCCCCATGGGCCGGGAGCCCTGCAGAGCCCTGGAGCCGCCCTCGAGGTTGCCCGGGAACAGGCCTCCGATGGCTCCGTCTGGTCCTGTAGCTGCCGGACCACCATCTGCGATGCCCAGACGCCGTGCAGGACGCCGGGCGGGGCACCGGGGGCAGAACTCACCGCTCCAGCCCGTAGACGTAGGCGACGCTGACCACCTCGAAGAAGGCGAAGAGGATGAGGTTCAGGGCAGCCAAGTGGTTGTCGAAAACCTCGAGCCAGTAGCTCCCAGACTGCAGCGAGAAGCAGGTGGCCAACGAGAAGCAGACCAGGCAGACCGCCCCTGCGGGCAGACCCTGCGTCTGGGCAGCTGGCCCTGGGGCCCTCCCAGCTCCCCAGGCCTCCGCTCCTGTCTGCCGTCCCCACCACCTCCCGCCCGGTGCCCAGGTTGGCTTCGGTGGACGGCGAGCGAGGGGGTCCCTGCTCCCTGCCCTGCTGACACTCCAGTCTCCTGTGATGGCCCTCGGGGGCATCGGTCAGCGCCGGGCACCGGGACCAGCCCTGAGAGGGGACCAGGCTGGCCCAGCCCTGCCCTGGGACTGCAGCATGGTCCACAATTTCCCGTGAACGGCGGGCAGGAGTGGCCAGCGAAGACACTCACCGGTCAGGACCTCCTTGGGGACCGATCTGGGCAGGACCCCCATATCCAGGAGGGGCGCAATGATGCTCTCCATGTTCCCGAACATGGACGACAGCCCCAGGGAGAACAGCATCGCGAAGAACAGCACGGCCCACGCGGGCGCCCCCGGCATGTGCAGGACGGCCTCCGCGAAGGCGATGAAGGCCAGGCCGGGGCCCGAGGCGCTCTG